CTAGCATGGGTGAGGCCCTGGGTTCGATCCTCAGCACCACATAAAAATAAATAAATTAATTAAAGATATTGTGTTCAACTACAACTAAAAAATAAATATAAAAAAAAAACATGGGGCTAGGGCTCAGAGGAATAGTGCTCGCCTACCAAGTGTGAGGCATTGGGTTCAATCCTCAGGACCACATAAAAATATTTTGTCCACCTATAACTAAAAAATAAATATTAAAAAAAAACGCTCATACACACACCCCACCTGTCCATGGAAAATTTCTTGCTTAGGATATTGATTTATCAGAATCATACTTTAAAATAATTCTTATTTATACTAATAAAACACAAAAGCTATAAAAGTTGTAGGGTTATAGGTAATAAAAGTCCTTAAAAACCATGGGCTGTAGCTCAATGTTACAGCACTGTCTTTAGTATTCCAAAGTCCCTGGGTGTAATTCCTAGGAACACACACACAAATAATAAACATAAAACCATGGTACTATTGAATAAGACATTTCATTTTTTCCCCAGAGGACTATGGGTGAATTTGCAGTAAGACAGCCATCCCACTTGGGCATGACAATAAACTAGAGTTAGGGCTAATAATATGGTGAAGAATTCTTCTGGAAATCACTATGAAGCAGTTGCAGTGGAGATGGGCTTACTGAGGTGAAGAGCTGATGGGGCTGTTGTGTAGAGACCAGTTTCTTAATGAGGTGGGCAAGTGGCTGGGGGCCTGGCCTGCTTGCTCTGCAGGCAGATGCTCAACTTCTTGCTCTGTACATGCCCACTGCCAGTTCTAGGCAGTGCCTTCCACCACTGCCTCTTCTTTCATTGCCTTAAGAGGTGATGCTGTGCTGCCCTGCAAGTTTTTAGGCAGGGCCCTTTCTAATAATCTTCTCCCAGAAACAGAAGAACTTGTCTCCAACTTCTGTCTGGAACTCATCTTCGCAGAGTTTGAGGCTGTTTAGGCCCCAAATCATATTCCAGATGTCACTAGGCATATTACTGCAGCAAGGAGCATCAGAATCTAGACCTGCATAGTGACGAGATTAATCGTCTTCAACTTTCAAATTTACAGTTATTTCCAGTAGTACTTAACAGTGACCCCTTTGTATTCATTTTTCCCCCTTGTGTATTAATTTCTGATAGGAAGAGCAAATACTTTTGGTAGTGGTGGTACTAGGGATTTAACCCAGAGAGATCCACCACTGAGTTACATCCCCAGCCCTTTAAAAAATATATATATTTTTAGTTGTAGTTGGACACAATACCTTTATTTTATTTATATGTGGTGCTGAGGATCAAATCCAGGGCCTTGCATGTGCTAAGTGAGCACTTTACCGCTGAGCCACAACTCAAGCCCTCCCAAGCCCTCTTTTGAAGCAGGGTCTCACTAAATTTGCCCAGGATGGCCTGGAACTTATAAGCCTCCTGCCTCAACTTCCTGCATCACTAAGATTACAGGTGTGCTCCACTGAATCAGGCCATATATTTATAGTCAACTTATTTTTTGCAAGATTGCCAAAACAATCCAATGAGGAAAAGAATAGTCTTTTTAATAAATGGTACTAGGAAAACTGGATATACAGTTATGTAAAGAATGAAGTTGGACCTATTACACCAGACACAAAAATAAATTCACAAATCCACCAAAGACCTAAATATAAGTACTAATACTACATATCTTGCTTTTGCCTTGTTTTACAACTGTATATAGGTCTATTTTCTTATGAACAGCTTGTATCTTATTTCACCTTGAATTCATTCGTCTTAATATTTATACACACACACACACACACACACACATATACACACAAATGTTGTCAGGCCTGGCAGCATGGGCCTCTAATCCTAGCTACTTGGGAAGCTGAAACAGGAGGATTCCAAGTTGGAGGCTAGCTAGGCAACACAAGACTCCCATGACAAAAAAAAAAGTTGTTGAAAAATAATTGATATTCACTATTCATTCCCTTGATTTTGAGTGTAATTGCTTGTCAAACCTATATTAAGTATCTGCTTCTGTACCAAGTACAGTGTTAGAATAAAACAAAGTTCTTACCCTCAGCAGAATTTATAATCTAACATAATTTTTTCATACTAATTTGTTTAGAATTTCCACTAACTTACAAACTCTTTCCTTTGCCTTTTCTCTTGAGACCTAGTGTAATGCTCAATATAACAAATAACTGCTTAGTCTCAGGGTTAAATCATTGGGTTTTGATGCCATTCTGCTGTCCCACTAACTCATCTCCTAGACTAGGGGCTAGCTCCTCCCAGGGGCTAGCATTCAGTTCTCCCACAGAGATACTTTAATATTCATTCACTCATACATTGAGCATCTAAGGTATGTTAAACCTCACTTTCTTGGAACTTGCCTAAATTGCAACTAATTTTAATGTCTTTCATAACCAATTTTTTAAATCATCAAGGGCCAATAAAGATCTTCAGAATTATGGTAGACATAAAAGTGATGTATTATGCAAAAGCATGAAATTAGACCATTATCTTACATCATACACAAAAGTAAACTCTGAAAATAGAGATTTTAAAGGTGAGACCTATCAAACCCCAGCACCAAAAATAAATAAATAAATTAGTAGACTTTATTACCTAGAAAGGCAACAAATACATCCTCCACCCTATTGTACATATGTATAAAACATATAAAGAATATGCTTCTTGGGGCTGGGGTTTTGGCTTAGCGGTAGAGTGTTCACCTACCACATGTGAGGCCCTGGATTTTATCCTTAGCTGTCTGCAGCTGTGGCATGTTTATATACTGGAAAAAA